ACTCTTTCTTTATCATTTCTTGGCAACTAGTATTTTTGTTTTTCGGAGGTGTCGTAAAAAGTAATTTGAGTTTTTTCTTTGTTGTTTTAGGTATTATTCAGTTTACAGGGTATGGACAAATATTTTTTTGGGGCCTTCACTTAGAACATTTTTATTAGATTATCGAACTTTTTTCCAACCACTGATCTTAGTCCATTTGTAGGTAATACTAATAAATGTGTTAATAATTATAAATAGTTCAAGTACTTGCACCAACCGATTAGAGATTTGTCAATAGTAACAAAAATAAGAATAGATTTATATTTTTTTTAAATGGCAAAATTTCTTAACCCTTGCTAAATGCCAGACCGACACTTCAGAACTACCTATTACGTCTACAACTTAGGGTTAACCCTAGTTACTTACTACTTAGGTAACTAATTATTTTAACATGTATTTGTCCTACGAGGAAGTAAATCGTCACTTCCTAGATTGCGAAGAAACAGCCAGAAAGTGTCCACTCTATAGTTTACTTGGGGACTTTAAAGTGGCGACTGTATTCGCTTTCGCTTAGAAAGAGTACATTCCTGTCGTAATGCGACTTAAAGCCAACCTGGTGGCTCTATTTCATTAAAATTTTATCGATCTAGATTCCACTAGAAATTGATTTTTAAGAAATGTTTGTTCTTAAATTCTTAATTCTTGAAAAATCTGTTCTATTTCTTTATTACTTTCAAATCATTATTAATGATTTGCACACTTAAAGGGTTAAAAAGAACTTAAAAATAAAAGTAGTTTTGTCAAAATTTGATAATTTTTTGTCGCGCGCATGTATAAATTAAACGCTACGCCGTCACAACAGAATTCTGAGATAACAAAAAAACTATATAAGCGGTTTTAAGTGGATTTACCCCCAAAAAGCCGGTAAAATGTTTGAAATTGAAAAACAACATTTAAAGTTTTTTTAAATTACAAAATTATGCCAAAAAAATATATGTCTATACTTTATCTGTGCTATTGCCATTCTAAGAGGCAGAATTTCATATAAAAACCTATTCATTATTTTATTTGCACTTGATTAAGAACTACTGATATGAGTATTTCAGACAGAAAAAAAATCCCCTTAATACCATAAAAATAAAACTATTGAACTTAAGAAAATGTTTTCTAATTCAAAACAATTTAGTTTTATTACCTTTAAATTTATGCTCAGTACATTTAATGTTAATTTCTGTATTTTTAATGACAATCGGAGGAGTACCGACGATGACCAGCCTTCATTTGTAATGGGGTATTTTTTTTGATAGTAATTTATTCGTTATTTGTTGCGCTTGAGTAATAAAATCTCATGTGTATCGGTGGGACACGCAAAAACTGAAAGTCAAAACAAAATAAAAATGAAATATCATCATCACTTGCTATATCTATATATATATAGTCCAAAAACTATTATACATATATACTAGAATAACACAGGTTAACAAATTTTTAAATCACAGACCAAAGTATACTTTTTCTAAAGGTTTAAAAATCTTAAAGAAGTCCACAGATAGGGCTTTAATTTTATAAATAAAGTTGTCTTATAGCTCCTCAAATCTTGATCCCCAGATTTATAGCTGTGTGGCAAAAAGCTATAAATATACAGAACTAGTCAATAGACTAGTTCCTAGTGGTGTGTTCTCATTCTCTTTATGTAAACTGTAATTTTCACCTGACCCTAGTCCCCTTTTCACTCAAAATGTAACTAGTTCATTTTTTAGCTAGATGTTCTAAAAGTTTTTATAAAATTCTTTAAAATGAAATGGAAAATTTCCATTATTTTAATATTTAACGGTTGTCTGAGACAAGCCCCCTTTTTTTTGGTTAAACAAATCATATAATCGCTATGTTACTCTAATAAAATATTTTATTAGATATTTTTTTCTTATTAAGTTTTTTTCTTTCTTTTTTTTTGTTTTGTTTATTTATGTACGAAATATCTTAAGACGAAATAAATAAAAATACTACTGGTACTAAATGGTACGTTATTAAGGCAAAAATAGCAACAAAATCCAACTTAAGTCAAATGTATGGCACTAAATAGTATTTTTATTAAATGCTTGAATAGTTCTTATTTTAAATTTGCGTAATTTTTTTTTTGGTAACACAGTTGTTGTTCTTAATAATTATTAAGATTATTAGTTAAATTTACTACTTTACCAGGTAAAACTTTAGAAAAAAAGTTTTTTTTTTTTTTCATATGATGACAGCAATATTTTTCACATGATTTTTATTACTTTCTCGATTGGTTCCCAAATAGACAATATCTATTTTTAGTTTTTTTACATAAGCACGAATTTATTTTTAATACAAATTTTTATTCTATTCTCGATCGGATGCATCTTGCATTCAATCATGATATATAGTTAGCATACAATTATTTCCCATATAAAACTATATTTTTTTAACTGTTTGTAGTACATTCTATTCTCGATCTGATGTTTTTCCAATTTGATATAATAAATGGTTTACAAAAAGAGGGCGTAAAAGGGGCGTTGCACTAAATCATGTTGTATAGTTAGTAGGCTTTCCGATATTATTTTTTGACTATGAACTTTACTAAAGTCTGAGGAAACTCACTCTCGGGGGCATGTAACTCGATATACCGGGGTACCTCTAGTCTGCCGGGACTATGACTGGGGATGATCAAATGTATGTTCGGTTTTAGTTGGAATGGTTTGACACGGGGTGAAATTATAGAACCACATAATCTGGTACCACGAGAACCCACCCGCATACCTAGACCGAATGTGTCTGATGTTTTTCTGAATGAGTGTGTCGGGTGAGAAGTGTGGTTAGTTAGTTAGTTAGTAAGTTAGTTAGTTAGTTAGTTAGTTAGTTAGTTAGTTAGTTAGTTAGTTAGTTAGTTAGGTAGTTAGTTAGTTAGTTAGTTAGTTAGTTAGTTAGTTAGTTAGTTAGTTAGTTAGTTAGTTAGTTAGTTAGTTAGTTAGTAGTAGTTAGTTAGTTAGTTAGTTAGTTAGTTAGTTAGTTAGTTAGTTAGTTAGTTAGTAGTTAGTTAGTTAGTTAGTTAGTTAGTTAGTTAGTTAGTTAGTTAGTTAGTTAGTAGTTAGTTAGTTAGTTAGTTAGTTAGTTAGTTAGTAGTTAGTTAGTTAGTTAGTTAGTTAGTTAGTTAGTTAGTTAGTTAGTTAGTAGTTAGTTAGTTAGTTAGTTAGTAGTAGTTAGTTAGTTAGTTAGTTAGTTAGTTAGTTAGTAGTTAGTTAGTAGTTAGTAGTTAGTTAGTTAGTTAGTTAGTTAGTTAGTTAGTTAGTTAGTTAGTTAGTTAGTTAGTTAGTTTAGTTATTAGTTAGTTTAGTTAGTTAGTAAGTAAGTAGTAGAAAGTAAGTAGAACGAAAAAGAAGAACATTTCTAGGACATTCACTTTCTTACAGTCTTGAGTACAGACTATACTCCTTATAGAATATAGTCTTGACTACAGACTAGTTTACCCATCTGACTTCACTTTACATTCTTCTATAGTTTTGACTATAGACTAGACAATAATTATTTCCGGTTTAGGGGAGTAGGTGCGATCATGTATCAATTATATCAAAATTTCTTTGTGCTAAATTTTATAAAAATATCTTTAAAAAGCTGTATGTAATTAGGAAAATACCCGAGACTTGTTTTGAAGACAATAGTTCTAAGCCGATCACGGCATAGGGTAAAAATAGTGGGTGTCGGGTACAAAAAGTGTGTGTTAAATAGGTATTGTTTCAAAAAATTCTATTTTTTTTTCTTAGTTTGAATGACTTGTTTTTATCAGTAGAATAAATAATAAACAATGGTACAATACTTAGATATAAAGTGTATCAGGCGACCATTGTTTAGAATTTATGTTTTTTGATAATTCTAAGGGAATTAGTTTTATTTTTATTTTATGACATTACACTCGTGTATTTCATTCATATGATTGGATGGACAATTAACGCTGATAGTGTTCGCATTAGTCAAATAATTGATAAAATAAACGATGTATAATAATCGTACACAATTTCAAGTTTTAAATTTTAGCTTTTTTTGAAACATTATAATTAGATTATTTCTAATCAAAACGCTTAAGTCAACTTAGGCGTTTAACGTTTGTACCTATAGATTTAGTATATTAACAATTGATAATTTTTTAAACTAAATATAATTTAAATGATCATTTAACCCCCATTGAATTATTTATAAGATTTCATAATAAATTATTATTTATGTTTAAGAATATTGCAAATAAAATTAGCTATTAATACTTATTACAAAAAAATTAATTAATCAATAACAATGATTACAAAACTGCTATAATCTAAGTATAATATGTATATTTGTATATTAAAAAAAAATATTGAAAATTATACATATGTATTTTAGATTTAAGCTAAGTTTAATTACCGATCAAGATTTATTCAATTACACGATGAAATATAGATTTTAATAAATTACAAAACTTATTAATAGAAACATTGAAAAATTGTTAAAATTTAAAATAATTATTTAAATTACATTAGGACGATGTTATATTCTGACTTTAAATGCTTTTACTTAATTGGTCCTTCGAGCCAAGAAACCGGCTTTAGTTCAAACAACTAAATTATTGTAAAAGTATTAAGAACACTTTATTTGATAAAACTAAACTGTTAAAAATTGACATCTCTTGCTTCAAACATTTTATACAACATTTCAATCTAAGAACTTTTTTATGTTTTCCCTGCAATTTAGTCTAATTAATGTTCAAGGCTCTCTATTAGTTATTTAATTTTTTTCGATTGGTTGTGCCCTCATTTCTTTCGTTTGCTGTAGTATTTTATTAAATATAATTTATTTTGTCTGATTTTATTCAATTTTTATATACGATGCATCTTTTCTTTTTAGTTTGACGTACACACAATCTCTTTTCTTTTAGAATGAATATCTTGTTTAGAGTTTTTAAAAATTTATTTTTTATAATGTGATAAATTTTGTGATGCAATAATTTTTTAAAATATTTTTTCTATTTTCAGGTTAGTACTATAATAAAGTTTAAGGAAAATATGGAGATATTAACCATTTTGGTATAAAGTGTAAGTTAATTTTATTAGTTTCAAATTAAAATAAATTTTTTCAATTAACAAGTGGTCCTGTCTTTGGTATCGTTTAGAATTTTGTTATTAATAGTATTTTTATATTGTAAAGAAAATATCTTTATAGTTATTTAAATACAATTAAATTGAAAAACTAAATTAATTGTAGCTCTAATATGAATTATTTTTAATTTTATTTCATTTTAAAGCATATATGTTAACTCTTGTTTACGTTTCTTCTTCTGTTTTGTCTGGGTATTAGGCATTCACATGAAAATGATAGTCTGACATTGAATACAAAATAAACATACGAATAACAAATGTAAAGTTATACGGAAACACAACAAAAATTAACAACAATGAAAATAATACAAAAATGCAAAGGATACGTAGATACAAGAGGGTTGTGAGTAAAACATTTGTGTATATTAATTAGGAAAGGTTTCATAAAATATATTAAAATTATGTATAACAAGTGAGAGTTCTATATAATCGGCTGTGCTGAATCTGTTTATATTTTTTACCAAAAATACTAGTTGGAAAACGAAAAAGTGCCAGAAAAGTACTATTTTATAGATTTTTGCAATTTTTAATATTAAAACAATTCAAAAAGTACCAGTTGAAGTGCGAAAAAGTAGCACAATCTTTACTTTTAAACATTTTCATTCCATCTGGATGCTATATATATGTATGTCTTTATGTTTCTAGGTTCAGTATTGCAGAAAATTCCAAAAGTACATTTTGAAGAACGAAAAGTACTAAAAAATCCCCTCTTATTATAAGTTCTCATTTTTAACTTTTATTTGTTTTATGCAATTTTTCTTCTTCTATTTTGTCGTCTTAAAAATTGGATATTCACATGAGAATGATAGTTTGATTTAAAAAAAAAAAATTTTCTAAAAAATATACGTAAAAATTATGTAAATTATTATAAAATATTGCCACTTTGAAAGCTCGGAACTAATATCTTCTACTGATTTCTAATGCCTTTTATTTAACAATCGGTCCCATTGTGCTGTGATGAGTAATCCAGTGGTTTAGCAGACTGCAAAAAAAAAAACTTTTAGAAACCAGTTTTTCTGTCTGAAACCTAATATGAATATAAAATAAAACAAAAAGACTTAAATGTAAATTTATTTATAAAATATGTATTATTAAATATAATATAATTAAAAATTTTGTATAACAAAAACTTAAAATATAAAAAAAAAAATTGTATAAACTTTATAGTTTAAAATCTAAATAGTTTAAAATCTTTTGCAAACAAAAAAAAAAAACCGAATATATTAAAATAAAGTTTTTCCCCTTTTAAAATAAACATTTTTAAAGGGACAGTCTGTTAGCAAGCTCCTTAAACATGTGGACTTCCATGCACAGTGTTGTCACACTTGATTTATATATAAATATTTGTTTAATATAATAACCTTTTAACTATAAAACAACAAACAAATATATATCTTGTTTTTATTCATATAATATTTAACAACTTTATCCCCTTTTTTAAATAAAATTCCAACCATAAATTATTGTGGTAGATCACAAACCAAATACTATACACAATAGATTGAAAAATATAAAAATAAAACTAATAAACAATTAGTTTTAAAACTTGGACTTTGACTAAAAGAAATTAATAGATTTTAGAAATATCTAGAATTTATTTTGCAACTTATATTTTTTAATAGTAATTTGTTTGTTCAAAAATAGTTTAAATTCAATTATTTTTTTGATTTTTTTTCTACATTTTTGGATTTTTATAGCTTTTATTATTAAATTATTATTGCTTTGACTTGGTTTATTTTTTTTGGATGACGATATTGGTATTTTTATGTTTTAATGTTTTTTTTTTTTTTGTTTCTGAAAATATCGGCTTTTTATGACTCTACTATCACCTGAATTGAATGTTAAAATTTGTTTTTTTTTTTAACATTATTATTAACTAAAAATATTTTTGAAATTAGGGTATTCCAAAAATAGTAGGCAAGGCTATGAGAGAAAATTTCGTATAAATTTTGTTTTAGTATTATTCTTGTTACCGCCAATATAGTTTGCTATATTACATTCACCCATAAAATGCCTGTAACGGTATTTTATGGGTGAAGTATTGGGCATTGTCAAAAAAAAAACGAATTGAGTAATCCATGCTCAAATCAATCTGGAGTGGTTTTAGAAGAACGTTAATTTGAGTTCGAATTACTTAATTCTTTTTTCAGTGTATAATCTTTTAGTTCTGAGAGTGGTATTAGTCCACTTTACAGTTAAGAATGGAGTTAGTTTCTAGTTGATAAGATCATTTGATATTCAAAATAATAAAATTCTAAATCTTAACAGTATATATATTGATTAGTTAAACTGACTGGTTTTACGGACTAATGAAGCCCGTTTCGAAGTCAAGTTATCAGATAATGAATTGATTTACTCGGCTCACTTTTATAGCGAAGATTTCTTATTGCAAAGTTTTGATTAAAAAAGTTCGTATAACCTAACGTTTGTTTTTCATATGTTTATTTATTTCTCGTATGTAGTATCAAACTATCAGTCTCCAGTGAATGCCAAAATTGTAAGAAGATAAAAAGGAATAATTTCATAAAGTAAACAAAAGTAAAAACAGTGTTTTAGAATGAAATAAAAATAATTAATTAAATATTAAAGCTATTAATTTAGTTTTTCATTTTAATTGTATTTTAATAAATATTGTAGATCTTTTTTCTTCTTTCCTTTTTATTACTACATGGTTACAACAATATAAAAATACAATTGACAGTTCATAAGCAGATATCGGATATAAAATACAAGACCAGTTCTGAATTACACAAAAAAAGTCAAGCTGGCTATATTCTACATTATTTAGGAACAAACAAGTTTAAAATAACCCTCCGCTAGATTACTGGGGGTGTGTAAAGTAAACAAATGCAAAGAAAACAAAGTTACAAATCAATTTATTTAATATGTATACTTTTCAAATTGCATTTTTCTTCTTAAAACGCGCTAAATAATTCTCAATAAACAAAACAACAACAAAAGAATCATTTCAATTGTAGCATTAATAAATATAAATCATTAAATATTTGTCAAAAATACAATCATTTAACAACATTTAGGGCATAATAAACAAATTGTTTTTTTTTAATTGTACATAAGACGAAAAAGGAAGGTATGGAATATAAATAAATTAAACCAAAACATTTGCCACAACAACAACAACGGTATATTTTAAATTAAGACAAACAACAAAAACACTATGAAAAAAAAATCGTTTATATTTTGATAAATCACGTGACATCCATAATACATTCTACAATACAATAAATATTTTGGAGAGAACAGAGTTTAAAATGTATTAAATTATCTTTCAAAAGTAATAATAATAACACTGTGTGACAGCAAAAAGATAGTGTTCTTCTTCTACATATAAGTGTCATTCAGCCTAAAATGACAAATTGACGAAAAAAACGCCGTAGACATGAGGTTCATGTTGCGTTTATTTTTTTATTTTTGATAAAACAAACAAATGCAATTTTGTATGGTGCTATATGATGACTGCATTCTATTGCAACTCTGTCATTTAGTAGTAGGAGGAGGTATGTACTTTAATTGAACATACAATTTGTAGTATTTTTTGTTCGTTTCGTACGTTTTTTGAAAACAGATTTTTTATGTTCATTATTATTTTGGAAATCATTTAATTTTTTATTAACTTGTTTTCAACGAAAATTATGTGTATTACTACTGCATTATTAAATTACTACCTTTTTTATAATAAAATGTTTGTAGTTGTATCTTTTGTAGGTATTTATTTATGTTTGTCTGGATGTGTAATTGTTTATTTATTTTTTTTTTTGGTCGTGTGAAATATCGCATGTTTATTAAGTGGTTTAAGTGGTTTTTAAAGTCAAAATTGCACGTGCTTAAAATTTTAAAAAAATTTTCTGTTAATATGCCAAAGAATTATTAACGAAAACTAATTCTTTCTTTTTTTTGGCAAACAAATTTTGTTGGTATCGAAAAATAAATGAAAATTTGTTTTTAAAAGAAAATTTAAATTTTTCATGTGACCAACAAAATGCTTTCTTTGTTTAATTTGTACATTTTAGTCAGTTTTAATTATCATAAAAATTTTATTTATTATTGCAAATATTTCATTTTATTTATATTCCCAAAATTTACTATTTGTTTATAATATGGCAAAAAAGTAATAAAAAAAATTCTTGAAAACAAATCGTTTCCAGTTGAATGACATTGATTCTAAATTTAAATATTTTTAGCAAAATGTCAAATGTACTTTTGTAGAATAATAATGTCATTTGTGGTGAAACTATTGGGAGTTAACATTTTTTTGTTGAACATTTATTTATGAATCACATAAAATAATTTTTAATGGTTTGGATTGGATATGAAAATTATAAAAAATGAAACTAAAAGCTAATTTACATATTCTATGTAATCTAGCCGAGGACAATTTTACACTTAAATGACCCTAAGTAGTCTATAAAGTAGACAGTTAAAATATATTGCACTTTATAATGAATACTGACACTTAACTAGAGATCTTTTTAAGTATAATATGTGGTCTAAAAGTAATCTGTTCCATTTTTGGAGATTATAAACTAGACTATAGACTAGACTATAGACTAGACTATAGACTAGACTATAGACTAGACTATAGACTAGACTATAGACTAGACTATAGACTAGACTATAGACTAGACTATAGACTAGACTATAGACTAGACTATAGACTAGACTATAGACTAGACTATAGACTAGACTATAAACTAGACTATAGACTATATACTAAACTATAGACTAAACTGTAGGCAAGACAATAAACTAGACTATAGACTATATTATACGGTCTCTGGATTGTGTAGTCTCTAGTCTATAGACTAGACTATAGACTAGACTATAGACTAGACTATAGACTAGACTATAGACTAGACTATAGACTAGACTATAGACTACACTATAGACTAGACTATAGACTAGACTATAGACTAGACTATAGACTAGACTATAGACTAGACTATAGACTAGACTATAGACTAGACTATAGACTAGACTATAGACTAGACTATAGACTAGACTATAGACTAGACTATAGACTAGACTATAGACTAGACTATAGACTAGACTATAGACTAGACTATAGACTAGACTATAGACTAGACTATAGACTAGACTATAGACTAGACTATAGACTAGACTATAGACTAGACTATAGACTAGACTATAGACTAGACTATAGACTAGACTATAGGCTAGACTATAGACTAGACTATAGACTAGACTATAGACTAGACTATAGACTAGACTATAGACTAGACTATAGACTAGACTATAGACTAGACTATAGACTAGACTATAGACTAGACTATAGACTAGACTATAGACTAGACTATAGACTAGACTGTAGACTAGACTATAGACTAGACTGTAGACTAGACTATAGACTAGACTATAGACTAGACTATAAACTAGACTATAGACTATATACTAAACTATAGACTAAACTGTAGGCAAGACAATAAACTAGACTATAGACTATATTATACGGTCTCTGGATTGTGTAGTCTATAGACTAGACTATAGACTAGACTATAGACTAGACTATAGACTAGACTATAGACTAGACTATAGACTAGACTATAGACTAGACTATAGACTAGACTATAGACTAGACTATAGACTAGACTATAGACTAGACTATAGACTAGACTATAGACTAGGACTATAGACTAGACTATAGA